TTTGTGTGGAGGGCAGGCTCCCACTCACTCTTCTTTACTGCCTTTCCTGGGATGTTACACTTAACATTAGCCTCTTTTACACAGCCTGCTGGAGGCAGGAATGTTGTGGGGTATATTGCCAGATCGAGGAGATGCGGCATGGCAGGACAGACAATACTGTTATGTTACATGTTCTGTGAAACTCCGGCAAGCTACCTAAAATCACTCACTGAAGCAGCATTATGCTGGCTTTGTTTGATTCAGGGTAAACACACAAAGCTGGCATAATGACAGGTATTCCTAACAAATGAAATACCTGGATCTCTGTTCTCTGACAGTATTTCTACTGCAGGAACTGAAGCCTGTGGTTGTGCTGGTTCTGAAGCCGACAATGATCCTTGTCAGCAAAGTGAATTTACTGGCTTGGCACGATTGATACATCTGCTTTTCACGGTTTCCCAAACCCCCAAGCAAAGAGATCTTGGCGTTGTGGCCTAAAGCCTGTGAACAAATTAGCTGAATTTCCACACACTTCACCTTGACAGTAAGCTCTGTAACGTATGAAAACTTGCTTTTAGCAATGGATCAAGGTGGAGAAATCCAGCGCTAGTTCCATGTCTCTATTCCCTCTCTCATCTGAGCGTACGGGAGCAACTGGGAGAGAGAGAGCGCATGGCAGCATATCAGGGCACCACCTTAAACTGGGCTCCCAAACCTTTTATGACTGCTGAGCAAAGTGGATTTGGGACAGAAGTAACAGCCCATACTTATCAAGCAGACAACCTCATTTTCTAGCCCCTTGCTCTCCGCTCTCGTTGCCTGGTGTGGAGGTTCATATTTTTCAAAGACAAACGGGGGCCCCACACTGCAGGGCCTGAATGGATTAGACTTCCCACACTGTAATGTGGTTTCTGACACCTCCTTCCTTCTTTAACTCTGCAGCTGTGTTGTTAAAAGCCTGGAGTGTTTCAGCACTAATGAATTCTGGCATAGGGATTTGTGTGTTCACCATTGAGATTGCGAGACACTTTTAAGGGGAAATTAATTTCACTCTATGGTGCTTATTGTAATGTGACAAAAACATTTCAGTGCAAGAGTCAGAATTGTTGAAGAGTTATTCTTATCTTCTTCCGTTCATTATGTCCTGTTCCAGATATTTTCCCTGCCCTCTGATGATGTTTGGGGACATGTGCACTGTTAGAATACTTATCTTAAGGATACAGCTCGCTCTGAAGTTGGTTCACTGGAAACTTTTACAGGCCTGAAATTCTCAACCTTTAGTTGTCAAAAGTAAACCCTCCCTTTTTCAGTTTGTCTTTCCTCTCGTGTGTTATGTAGTTTTTTTTTTGTATGTAAAGGTTTTGTTAAGTTTAGAAGTCCATGGTAGGGAAAGATTCTCTCCCCCACAGAAAACACTGCTCCCTAAGCTAATGAAGCACCTTGTTAATAGTCCTCCAGCTTCATTGTGATGTAACATTTGCATAATGCACGCCTGGTGGCCAGTCTGTCATGTCCCCTAACAAAACCAGGTAAAGCGAGTGCAGAGGTCAACATTTCCAACTGGCCGATCAGATCAGTCTGGGCTTAAAGAGACAGAAGCGAAAACCAAGTGGCTAAAAAGAGCAGCTGCAGCAATGGACAGTTTGAGCAGAGTGATGTGTTTTCTGAATGTAAACCCTTTCAAGTAATAACACTAATTCAAACATCAGCAGGATATGTCACTTTAAATGTCTCCTTCAGATGCAGTCGATAAAGATCCTTGTTTCCTGCTGAGATTTTTCTCTTATCTCACTCATGCTCTGCCTCTCTCATTATCTTCCTCACACCCTTTCATGACAAACAGTCTGTTCAACTTTTCAGTATTATATGTAACTACAGATATACCTACAGACATATATATATATATAACTACAGACACCAACTTAATGAGCGACGACTTCAGCTCCTTCTTACCTTGTTGAAAGTTCACAGGACTTTATTTGTCTTTGTTGTGTTTCCGAATCGAGCTAATGAATAAGATATGAAGGTTAAAAACATGGGTTTCTGTCTTTCTGTCATTACACCTTATTATCTCACGTTATATGAGTCAGTTAAATTAAATAAGCTTTTCCTCAACATATCTTTTGTCTGCACATAGTGAATCCAGCAGGGATCACACCTTAGCTTATCCTTGCTTTCTTGGAATTTAGACTTTGACCTGTAGAAGTTGCATCATTGTTTTGTTGTCATGTCTGTAGGTGTGTGTGTGTGTGTGTAGTAACCTGTCGGTGGTATCGATAGTTTTTGTTCCAGGTGGAGATAATGTGGATGTTGTGAAAAAGAAAACAAGTTGAGTTGAGAACAGACCGTCCCCTCTGCCTGCTGTCAGGGCCTCGCTCTCCCTGGTTTATCCCCATCTCTTTTGTCAGTCTGTGCCGATGCCCTGCTCTCCTGACAGAGGACGTTATATGTGCAACTCACAGCAGATGGTTCACCATTTTGTCAGAGAGTAGTATCGAAGCTAAGCCCTCCCCTGCCGCTCCGACAATTGGGATAAAAAAGCTGCTAAAGGCGGCAGTTTTGGCTTTGATTGGATGCCGCAGGACCTTCAAGCCCATTCAGTGTTGTCCTCAGACCGGCGGAAGATGGTCTTTTTTTAACTGGAAAAGTGGCCAGACTTGGGCCTGAAAGCGCTGCCCAGCCCACACACCCACTGTTTCACCAGCGTAAAGCAAAGATGATTAAGCATGCCATGGAGCCTCTGGTCTGCAGGAGTGACGAATTCCCCCCACTGCTACTCCACTCTGGTCTCTCTCCATCTGTCATGTACACCATCAGTAAAAGCCATTTGCTAGTTTTGTCACATTCAGCCCCAGTATGTACACCAGGCTGAATTTATTGATTTCCTGAAATCAGCTGCTTACCTCAGTCTTATTTAAAACCACCCACTTTCTGCTACGAGCTACTCACTGCTCAGTCACAGCTATAAAATGTGTTGTGCTGGGTTAGGGTGGTATTTTTTTATTGCTTATTGCTGTTTATTCACTTGAGTCTCACGTCCACTTCTGCCTGAAGGGATATTTAAAATAAAATATTACATGTTTGAGCACTTGTGCGTCAGCAGATCTAATAAAGTTTGTATCATGAAAATTTTATTTTATATGCTCACTTTGAGAGATGTGCTGCTCACAATTCCTCATGGCCTTTTCCGATGTTTATCTTTTCATTTCTATTAGAGGTCTAACCTTCCAATTCAGATTTTCTGTCTCTCTAAGAACCACGATAGAATGGATTCATTAACATTTTTAAAATAAACAACTTTTTTGCAGAAGGGGGAGCTCAGAATAAATAAGTTTTCAGACTGAGCTTCTTTTATTGAAATAAATAAAATCCTCCAACCTCTTTCCTCGACTACAGAAAACCATCTGCATTAATTCAAAGATTTTGCTCGTAACGGCTTCTGTCTTTTCATTGCTGATGAAAGATAAAAAGAGATATGAGGCCAAAACCCAGCTCTGGCCATTGAGAGTAAATGGGGGCACTTTTCCTTCTTATTCTATTCTAGTCTTTTCCATCAGGGAATCACTGTGGAGACAATTGCACAACTTGTATTGTCTTACATTCATTCCCTACTGTGAAAGCGGAAAATATGTATTAAATTCAGTCACTGTCTGGAGTTTTTTTTCTGTAATTGTTTTTTGCTTTCAAGAGAACTTAGTGCACAGAGGACAAGCAGCCATGTTGCCACCGTTATGAGCCAGGCATTACATAGCTTCTCTCTTTGGATCTCACACCAGGGACTTGGCGCCGTGAGGTGGAGAAATTACCTCCCAGTAGTTAAATTGCTGAACCATTGACATAGCATCTTCTTCTCTCCCTTCCTCTCTTCCCTTCTGTCTTGTTTCCTCTCTTTCTATCTCTTTCTGCTCTCACTCTCCCCCAGAGACCTGCCATTTTCTTGAAAGAGAGCAGGCATATTTTAAACTGCATTTAACATTCAGACACTTATTTCACTCCATTCGCTGCATTATTAAAATACCTTCACACCCCCTTAATTATTTTTCCAGCTCTCCGTATCCCTGCAGCACTGATAATTGGTGTTATTTATCTAAACAATACCACAGTGCGACTCTTAGGGTGGGAGCGCTTGAATAATGAATGAGGACAAATATGAAGCAATTGCACTTACTCTGGCGGTGGCACTATCCCTGTCAGCGCACTGCTACCGTTTCTGCTTGCGGAAAAAGAAATGGCAACCGCGTTCCACAGCGCTCACTCCGTCACTGCTCTCGCTACTTATAATAAAGCGAGAGGTGATATGAACTTGCCAGGGAAGCTAGACTGGGTTAAATTTGTCAGTTCCTCTTGTCCAATTCCAGCGGGGGTTGTTGTTCCATAATGAAAAGCCTCTTGGAGTCGCAGGGATCAGCGGATGCACAGTGGCTAAAGAGATAGAATGAACAAAAAGGAAGTTTTGCTTTGGGAACATTTCAGTGAGTGTTTGGGGCACTGGGTGTCCTGTAGTGTTCTTTCATTTCAGCCAGCGGCACGTTTTGTGAGTGAGTGTTAAAATGTGCCACTGAAGTCGATGGCATCCTTTGAGATGTGACTTAAACTCAAACAACCGTCAGTCGTTCCTGGTATTCAAAGTGTGATGGGCAGCGTTCTTAAATCCTCCACTTTAGAACAAATGCAAATATCACATGTTTATGATTTGTACTCGTCTGTTTGAGAAGTTACACACACTTACCTCAGTGTAATGCATAACATCATATCACGATTAAGCTCTTAAGACTCCAGCATGTGCTGCAGGCATCAGATATACACTCGAGTTGAATTCCACCGATGCAAAGGAGACATGCTGGTATTACAAGTAGATGAATGATATCAACATTGATATCAGCTGCAGTGAACATGGAATAAATGAGTTGTTTGACTTTAACAAGATTTCTATTTGATGTATTCCTCATTGCTGCTCAGGTCCAAGTCCTGTTCTAAGATTACAAGTGTCTTATCTCCGTCTCCCCTCTGTTGCCGTCCAGGTTCAGCAGCGCAGCCCTTCATCCCCTTCTGGTTCACAGTGGAGCCCCAGGACACACTGGCCATTCGGGGCAACTCTGCGGTGCTCAACTGCACAGCCCACAGCGATACTGCCACACCGGTACGCATAGAGTGGAAGAAAGACGGCACCTTCATGAGCCTGGTATCGGACGAGAGACGGCACATACTCCCTGACGGTGTCCTGTCCTTCACCCATGTGGTCCACTCCAAGCACAACAAGCCCGATGAGGGAACCTATCAGTGCGTCGCCACCATCGACAACGTGGGATCCATTTCCAGCCGCACGGCGCGCCTCTCTGTAGCAGGTACGTTCTGCTGGATTTATATTTTTCTACCATAACCACGACTAAAAATACTAAATCGTGGTTGTAGTTTGTGGCAACTTGTTTTGGGAGTTCCACATTCGATTTAAGATCATGGGTTTAGATGAAATCTGCACGTACAGCAGCGAAGGCATCACACACCCACTGAGGTGTTTTCTCGGGTGTTGGCTAATGAGTTGTCTCTCAAGGACCATATGAATGTGTACAGTGTGTAGCTGATAAATGAAAACAACCCTGTGTAATAGCTGGTGACCTCACCAAACTCCCTATTAGCTCCTCTCAGCTCTTAACCTTTATCGGGCCTATTGAAGCACCATAATTGAATAAGCCCGTGTGGATGTGTGTAAAAGAAGGTCATAATATTGAATGAAAAATAAAAATTGGTAATTAAAATGCAAGAGTGCCGCATAGATTAGAGAAATATCTTCAAAGAACAACTCCACACCTTTCTCTCGGTCTTTTTTTGCATCTTCTTTTTCTTACAGAAAGAACGTGTAGAATAAATGATATCCGTCTTTGATATCTGGTGTTTTCTACTTCATGGCAATGCTGCAAAAGCACACCCACATAAGATCTGGTGGCTTTTAAGTTGCTTTCCCTCATTCACTTCTGTGATTGTTTTTGGCCACACTTCAGCGCTACATCCCCAAATGTGAGAGAGTTGTTAGCTGAGTACTTCAGTCAGTACTAAAGAATTTACTGAGTACCAGTATTTGTAATAGTCACAAATTTCCACACTGGTAGTACGTTTAAAATCACATAAAGTTCTGAAACTGAATGTGAATATAATGTGATGTTTCGGAGGATATTGAGGTTCAACAGATTTCTACTACTTCCACACACACACACACACTCCAGCCATTTACAGGATTTGTCCGGGTCGTGTTTGTCCTTGACTTGTTCAGCCATTTGTTCTTTTTCCTCTCTACATTCCTCCCAGAGCCTGAATGTGTTGCCCTCCTGGATAAATGCTTTTCAACGGGTCTGCGTCTTTTTTTTTTTTTCTTTTTAAATTACTAGTCCTACAATGTGACCTTGTTCAGTTTGGAAACAGCTAGTGATGTGGGATTATTTGGTGTTTGGAGTCAAGTTGTGCCCTGAAATTCAATTTGCTGCCGGAGGAGTCGCAGAATGCATTTACTGTGCACGCTCACTTTCTGCTCAACAGTGCTCTCCCGGATTTTAAGACGCTTGAGAGAGAGAGGGAGGCCTCTTGTTGACAATGGGATAGTGCAGTGTAAGCCTCTCGGATACCTTGGAGTGTCTGTGTGAAGTTACACTGTCAGGCTGGGAATCAGTTTGTTTTCGTAGGCTTTTGAATTCCACATTACTGAGGCGATACACGACCGTTGGAGAGATTGTGAACGTTTTGCCTTCACCACTCAGAGAGTTAATTGGTGTGACTGCATGTGCAAAATGATTTCTCAGTTTAGACTTAACCTTTGAATCTAATATCTGAGATACCATGTTTCCAGCCTAGATGAACCATTAGGAGATGACATATTCTGAAACTGATCATTAGGAAGTTAATATTTAGCATATTTACCTATTCTCTTGATACACTTGCAGTAAATACAGGTGCGACAGAAGCTCAATGCTTTGGATCAAATCTTTTTTTTTTGCATAAGCAATTATTCTTACTCCGCCTGACCTCAGTGCTCAGTCACGCAAACTTAAGATTCACAGGTCTGGAGTTTCGTTTTGAAATGTGTTTGTGCATGAATGAGTAGACGCAGGTGTGCTCGCATATGCGTTCGCCTTAAAGTCTGTTCAACAACAGCAGGGCAGTGGACAAACTGTCCTTCATCAGTATCTGTCACCACAGCTGCATCGACGTATGATGCAGAGGGGACCTGTTTATAGTTTCTCTGCCAAGATGTGTTCTGCTATCAGACGTCCTCACAGCCAGTGGGATCTACCTGGGTCAACCATGATGGGATGTTAGATTCAATCAATTTCTACTTGAAGAGAGAGCAGGCGAAATCTGTCAGCTATTAAAGGAGCACACACACACACACACACACACACACACAAGCACTTTTGTCATAGACGTAAAAAGCTTCAACCATTATGCATCTATACAAGCACAAATGTTGGACACATTAAGCTATTGTATTAATGTTTCCACACACACACACACATGCACAACCACTGATGTATCTCCAGCTGGCTGGCAGGTGGCCAATAAAAAGGTTAATTGCGGTGTAGAGAGAGCAGGCCATTAGGCCGCCATCGGACCCAGGAGCGATGGCGGAGTGGGCGTGACCTCTCAGACGAAATGATGGAATGAGTCACGGGTGGCTGGCGTGGCAGGAAGCTTATCTGACAAATACCGAGGTAATATCAGGGATTGATTGCTATGAGGCATGCGGCTCATTCTTCTCAAGGAAACCCCTCCGCTTCCACGTCCGTGTCTCACCAGGCTCCGGCTCCCTTTAACTTTCTTTGTTGTTCTTCACATGAGCACAAAATGTGTAAGATTGTAAGATGTCATAAGATATCGCACAAGATCAGGTAAACGTGTTAATTGTGAGGATGGAGAAGCAGTTTTTGCATTTGAGGCTTCGGCTCAAGAGGCAGAGTTGAAGTTTCCTTCGGCAATACACTGAACTCCAAATTGCCCCTGACGGCTGTTCTGTCAGTGTGAGTGATGTGCGATAGAAGTGCTGTGTGAACGTGTGTGTGAATGGATGAATGTGACCTTGTATGGTGCAGCACTTTGAGCCATATAAACACATTACATTTATACGACTCAGGGAAGAGGACATGATCCATGTAAACACCAACTCATATGTTTTTATTATTCAGCTGTTGCTAGGTGTAATCACTACATCAGGTTTAAAGGAGATCACTTTATAAGATGTGGATTTTCTTATCTTCCTCAGTTTATGCTTTTTTAAAGACATACATTTCCCTTAACTTTCAATCTAATAAAATGAATATTTAATTATTTAGGCTCTGGTATTATATACACAGCTCGATCGATTGATCGGCTGGTAAATAATAAATACAACCAGTCAATAATATCACAGACATATCGATTTCACTGTTGCTGATATGAAAATGTTTATTTTACAGAATAAACAATTCTGAATTTTGTTGTATTAATGTTTTCTGTTTATTCATGTTTATCAATATCGGAAATGTTTTACTCTGTAACAGCGTCTAACCCCAAAAATCCACGTTGGTCCGAAGGTACTTATATAAATACTGCAGTTGTCATTAAAATCAGGTATTGTGGTTGTCAGGAGAAATATTTCTCTGCTCTGAAATCCTATTCATTGGCTTTGTGTTTCTTCTCTGCTCTTGCTTTGTCATCCCGTCAGTTTTTGCCTGTGTGTGCACAGTCAGATACGCAGGAAACACGAGCAGACTAAGAAAAGAGAGAAGGGGGGTGGAGTGTGGCCTTGTCGTCCCAGTCTTATGTATTCAGCATGCATCCCTGTAAGAGAAAAGGAGGGGGAGAAAAATTACAGGGCAGGGAGCGAGCGAGGGAGTGAGCGAGGGAGCGGGCGGTATAGAGCGGTGATAGCCAGGACACAGAGCGAGACGTAAGAAATGAGAAATCCCATCTGAACCGTCTGCTGCTCTCGAAGCACGGCTGTCCCTCCGCCCATCGGCACGCTTTGAGCTCAGCCCTCCTTCACGATCGCTTGTGGTGAACCTCGCCGCCACTTAACAGGGAATCCTCCAAATGAGAAAAACGGAGAATACATTTCGCCCTCTCTGTCGCTTTGTTTTGTTTCTCCCTGACCTCCCCACATGTGGACGAGGCTCTTCTCTGTTCCAACATATTGACTTATTGTGTTGGTTTCTGCTCCCCTCTGTTTTTCTTGTGTTTTCCTTTCTTTCCCTCTCACCAGTACAATACTGTGGAATAGGAAGATAAGCAAAACCACTTATTACTTAGCTTTGATACTGTGTTTGACTGAAATCTAATTTCTCCCTCCTCGCACTAATGGAAATTATAAAATGAACACCAACGCTCTTCATGTGTCGTGTGTGTTGCTTCATATTTAAGCATTCTCATCCTTTGATAGAGTCTGACACACTTTGTAGGATTTAGGGCTGTTGGCAGATTCTTTAATCCCTTTTTTGATGTATTTGAATCTGTAGTTTTTCATAAGGGGGGGGGTGCGAAAAAATAACGATTGCGTCACTGTTGCATTGGAACTCCTTTGTGGCATCGCAGGAGACGCTTTGTTGGACACACAGTTGATTAATTAAGGCGGCATCTCTTCATATTGGGAAATAATGTGTTTTGACAACATAAAGTTGATGTCAGCGAAAAGGGGATTAAGACATTCTCTTTGGATAAAACATAACAATGATGCACAGGCACTGAGGTTACAATGGTTAGCAAGATTTACTGTAAATGTCTTTAAACTGTATGTGTGGATCCTTTAGCTCCGTAAGATGAACTGAATGTAAATGCTGCAAATATGAACACTTACAGTGTGAAGCCTAATATTTCCCTTGCAGCTGCAATTCACAGTCCATGAGCTTCACAATTAAGTGATGAGCCAAGATTACAAAACCGATGCAAAACAAATAGAAATGGTGACAATGAAATATTGATTTTTAAAGCTATAATAATAATAAAAACATTTTCAAAATGTACAAAAAATAGAAAAAGGACAATAAATTGGAGAAAAACACACACTAACAATATTATTGGACAGATAAAATGTAATAAATGAATGTCTATAAAAAAGCCTGACTAAAGCAGCACTGTGTATGTGACATGTTCGCTGGTGCAGTGTTTGTGTTAAAATCAATACGGAATCACACAGTCAACCAATGCATGGGCTTTGTGTAGGATATGAAAGGAAAATAAGTTTTTTGAATTAAAAGGATTTTCTGATTATTAAGAGATTTGCCGTTGATTGACTAATAAATGTATCAGCTAATCTGTTGTACCTTTAAGACTCAACCTGATTACAACAGACACACACAAACACACAAAGGGCAAACAAAGGCTG